TATTTATTTTATGCCAATATTTGCTTTGTCTTTATGTCAATATTATTATTGCAGATCTCTTCTATTGCTAAGGGTGGTACAGTAGTAGCTTTTATTGATTCTTATGGTATGTCAATATCCAGTTTGTCTTTTGAGTCTATTGTTGCTAATTTCTTTGTTATTATCAGTGGTGGCATAGTTGTTAATATTAACTGGTTTTTCTCCATGTCAATATCTGGTTTGTCTTTGCATCATGAACATTACTATGGTCTCTGGAAAACTGTGTGCTACACTACATCTTCCCCTCCCCAGATTAATGAAGGTGATCAGATTTTGGGACAGAGGCAAAGGCCTATAGTCACCCATGCTCAGAGCACATCACTGGAAAGTAGACACTAACTAAGGAGATTGCCATACTAGCAAGAAAGTCTTTAATCCACCCCACCAACAAAAACAAAACATCCAACAATGACAACAAAACTAAAAAACAAAAAAAGAAAACGTGAGAAACGGTAACAAAATGCCTCTAAAAACTTCCAACTACCCCAAAGCTGATCCATGAAGCATTGATGGGACAAAGACAAACAGCTGAATTTTAAGAAATGATAAAAGAGGAAACAAACAAAAATACAAATTGATAAGGTGCTCAGTGAGCTCAAAGAAGATATAACTAAACACATATTGAACATAATAAACAATGATTATTGAGCTTAAACAAGACACTAACAAAAAGCTAGCCGAGCTAAAGTAAACAATATGAAACATGAATGACCAGTTTAGGAAAGAATTAGATTGCACTGAAAGGTACCACACAAAAATCCAAGAGACAGAAAATTCTATTGAAAGTACGGAGAGCAGAAGTGAATAATGTGAGGAGAGTGTCAGAACTAGAAGCCAAGGGCTCATACAGGTTACAACATACTCAGACATACTGTAAAAACAACAAGAGACAATGAAAAATGATTCTAATAGCTGCTAAATGACCCAAAGAAGACTAAAGATTTAATTGGAATTAGTGAAAAATCAGTTTACAAAAATGATAGCAGAAAAATTTCCAAGTATGGGGAAGGAATTTAATATAGAACCCCAAATTGCCACCATCCAAAAAGAACTTCTGCACAACACATTATAGTCAAAATTGCAGAAGTACACCCCAACGACAGAATCTTAAAAGCTGTTAGAAAAAAAGCAACAAGTCACTTATAAAGCTTAAACCCACTAGAATCACGGCAGAGTTCTCAGCACAAACCTAAGATGCCAGGAGAACTTGGAGTGAAGTGTTTAAAGCCCTAAAAGAAAACAACTTCCAAACCAGACTAATATATCCTGCAAAACTATCTTTCAAAACTGATGACAAAAGAACACATTAAGAAATTCATTACCATCAAACCAGCACTCCAAAAAATTCTCCAGGATATCCTACATAGAGTCAAAGAAGCTAATGATGCCAAAAAGTCTAGTGGAATGAATACATTAGGTACAATGAGCTGTTAAACAAAAGAAGGAAAAAGGAATCAACAAGAAGATAATACAGTAATAGGAATACATCAATCCTTTTCGGTAATAACTCACAATGTGAATGGACTGAATTCCTCAACCAAAAGATACAGATTGGCAGACTTAATTAAAAACCAAAACCCAACAGTATGCCACACATGAGAGACACATCTGATCCAGAAATTCACAGACTAATAATCCTAGGATGGAAAACAAGATTCTATGCAATAGGACCCCAAAAGCAAGCAGGAGTAGCTATTCTATTTTCATACAAAGTGGACTTCAAGCCAAAAATAATTGGAAGAGGCAAAGAAGGTCAATACATATTAGTTAAGGGAACAATTAAACAGGAAAAGATAATTATAAATATCTATACTGGTGTGCCAAGATCATACTACACTTGAACTAGAAATCAATGGCAAAAGAGGCCACAGGAATTTTGCACACACTTGCAGATAAAATAACACACTCTTGAATAGTAAATGGGTCACAAAAGAAATCAAGGAAAAAATTGAACAGTTCCTAGAATAAAATGATAATGGCAGTACAACATAGCAAAACCTATGAGACACAATGCAAGCAGTCTTAAGATGGAAATTTATTGCTGTGAATGCCCACATTAGAAAAATAGAGAGAGGCTAAATAAATAACCTAAGGTTGTACTCAAGACACAATTGAGACTCCCAAAATCTAGAAGATTAGAAGTAACTACTTCAAAAACATGTACACCTGTAAATTGGGGAATCCAGAAAAAATGGATAGATGCCTAGATAATACGAATTACCAAAACTAAACCCAAAAGATATAAAAACTCTGAATAAACAAATAGCAAGCAATGAAATTGAAGCAATCATTTTTTAATAACCTACCAACTATGAGAAGCCCAGTATATTCAATACTGGCTTCTACAAGAATTTCAGAGTAGATCTAATGCCAATACTCCTCAAACTCTATTGAAACTGAAAGGAAAGGAGTATTCCAAAAGTCATTCTTGGAAGCCAGCATTACCTTGATTCCAAAACCAGACAGGGACTCAACTAAAAAATAACATTATAGGGCAATCTCTTTAATGAACATAGATGCAAAGATCTTCAACAAGATTCTGGCAAACAAAATCCAAACAGTCATTAAAAAGATCATATATCATGACCAAGTAGGCTTCTTTCCAGGAATGCAAGGATAGTTCAACATATGTAAATCAATAAATGTAATACATCACATAAACAGAACAAAAAAAATCACACGATCATTTCAATAAATGGAGAAAAAGCACTTGATAAAATTCAACATCTGTGCATGATAAAATCCTTGAAGAGTGTCTGTATAGAAAGACCTTATCTCTTTCTGATAAAAGCCATTTATGACAAACCCACTGTCAACATCATATTAAGTGAAGAAAAACTGAAAGCTTTTCCACTAAAATAAGAGACAAGACCAGGATGTCCACTATCATCACATCTGTTCAGTATAGTATTCAAAACATTACCAGAGCAATCAGGCAAGAGAAAAAGTAAAGGTCATATGTATAGAAAAGGAAGAAGTCAACTATCCTTATTTGGAGACAACATAATCCTTTACATAGAACACTAAAAATTCCACCAAAATACTACTAGAATAAACAAATTCAGCAAGTTAGCAGGATAGAAAATCAATACACACATATTAATGGCATTTATATATACCGACAATGAATTTAACTAGAAAGAAATTAGGAAAACAATACCATTTACAATAGCTTCAAGGAAAGTACATACTTCAGGGTTAATCTAACCAAGGAAGTTAAAGACCTCTATAATGAAGCCTGTAGTGTTCTGGAAAAGGAGATCAAAGAGTATATCAGAAAATGGAAACCTAATCCCCTATTCCTGGATAGGTAGACCCAATATTCCAAAAATGACCATACCACTGAAATTAATATATAAATTTAATGCAATCCCAAAGAAAATACCAAAAGCATTCATCAGAGAATTTTTTTAAAAAATCTAATTCATATGGAACCAGAAGAGATCAAGAATAGCAAAAGCAATCCTGGGCAACAAGAGCAAAGCAAGAGCCATTACAATTCTGGACTTCAAGCTATGTGACAAAGCTATAGTGATAAAAATAGCATGGTACTGGCACAAAAACAGACGTGTGGATTAATGGAACAGAGCAGAGGATGCTGAAACAACTCCAAGCACACTCAGCTATCTAAGGTGCCAAAAACATATTCTAGAGAAAAGATAATCTTTTTAACAAATGGTGCTGGAAAAGGTCGTTATATACATGCAGAAGATTAAATCTACAGTGGAACCTCAAGTTACAACTAGTCTCATATATAAACAACTTGGGTTATGACCAGAATTGTAGTTTTTAACTTGCCACCAAAGTCTTGAGTTATGAACCAAATGCCAGTCTTTCTTGTGTGGGGTTAACTGAGAAATCCTGGACCAATGTCTCTCTAAGGACACTGGGATCTGCCAGGAAGAAAGTGTGACCTAAAATCATACAGGAGGGACTTTGAAGGCTGTGTAGAGGAGCCTGACCCTTTAACTGACCCTGTAGTCGATGACACTGTCACTATAGCAGAGTCCATAGGCTTGCAGGTACACAGTGGTGGTGTTGAGGAACCGGAGGAGGAAGAGTCAGAGGAATTTTCTACAGAGAAACATCAGCAACTTCTAGCTGAGTAACAGAGAATGGCAGCTTGAGCTTTTTGAAGACGAAGGGGAGTATCAACAATCAGTGCAGCAAAGTTCTTCTTCTGAAATAAAGGAAATCCTGAAATAATGGACAGAGCTACAAACATTTGTAGAGAAGACCCACCCAGACAGAGAAGAAGCCAATCGTTGCATTTATTTGCCTAATGACAATGTTATGTCATACTACAGATCAGTGTTAAAGAAAATAAAGAAACAACCTTAGACCAGATTTTAGTTCTGAAAAGGTTGAGACCTAGTGAGGGACTCACCTTCCAAACAGTAACCACCTTCCATTTCATCCTCCCCTCCCTTCCTTGAAGCCAAACATGTCAACTTGAATGGTGAGTACAGTATGAAATTGTTGTTTCTGGTAAATGAGGTACATTTTATATTTTGGTGAATACACTAGGAAAATTATTGTGGTAAATTATTCTGGTAAATTATGCATATTACACAGCCGTTTCTTATTATCAGAAGGTTAGTTAAGCAGTGATTTGGGAGGTTCGGAATGCATTATGGCTATTTTCATTATTTCTTACGGGAAAAATAGTCTTGACTTACAACAAACTTGAGTTACAACCAGCCCTCGTGAACAAATTGACTTTGTAAGGCAAGGGTCCACTGTAAAACCATATCTCTTACCATGTACTAAACTAAAATGAAAACAGATCAAAGATCCAAATATTAAAACAGAAATACTTAATCTACTGGAAGATAAAATAAAACTCTTGAAGACATAGGCATACACAAGGACTTTCTGAACAGAACTTCAATTCCACAAGATAGCAAAAATCAACAAGTGGGATTATATCAAATAAAAAATCTTTTTTTTTTTTTTTACAGCAAAGAAAAAAACTAAGTGAAAGGACAACTGACAAAATGGGAATAAAGAATTTTGCCAGCTATTCCTTGGACAGAGGACTAATCTAAAATATATGAAGGACACAAAAAATTAGAAACTCCCAAAATAAAAGAATGGGCAACTGATTGGGACAGACACTTCTCAGAAAAGGTACAAATGGCCAATAAATACATTAAAAAATGTTCAACAGGGCCAGGGATTTACCTCAGTGGTTCTGCCGCCTGCCTCACAAGTGCAAGGATCTGAGTTCGATCCCTGGTACCAAAAAAAAAAAAAGTTTAACACATCTGGCAATTACAGAAATGCAAATTAAAACAATACTGAGATTCTATCCTATCCAAAAAAGAATGGCTATTATCAAGAAATCAAATAAGACATTCCTCGCTTAACATCCGGGGTCTGTTCCTGTGACTAGGTCATTAAGTGAATTGTTAAGTGAGGTCTGGGTGACCTTCCAAACCCACACTCATATTTTGCCACTCACCGAGTTCCTGGTTGGTCTGTATACCCTGAGCCATTCCCCTGCTGGCCTCTGGAGCTGTCTCTGCCAGGAAGGAAGTAAACTCTCTGTACCACAACTCGAATACCCACTTCTGAATACGGGGCAGCTCCCTTGCTTTCCACCACATCCAGGAGAGAATCCTTTGAGGAAGTGCCAGCTGTGAGGTACTGCTTTGCCTCTTCATGCCCATGGGGCCAGCCTGTACTTGTGGTGGCTGGGCCACTATGTACAACCTGGTCAAGACATGCAAAAGGAGCTGTTTCAGTTTGGCTTACAACATCAGGTTACCCACCAAGTAATCACTTGAAGAATCTTTACTGAACTGAAAGAATGGTGAAGACAAAAGCAACAAATGTGTAGTGGGGGGGTCTCTATGCCTGCCACGTAACTAGCCTGCTGAGGTGGGACAGGTGGGTGACAGTAATGTGGACAGCAGAGTGTTTCCTATCAGTGGAATTCCAGCAGGGACAGTCCTGCTATTAAATACCTTATGGTAATTAAACATTGTTTTCTTTTCTTTTTGAGGTGACAAATCTAATAGGACAAAGTAAAATGTAAAAGAATGACAAGGGTATGATAAAAATGAAGTACTTTATTAAGTGCTCATATATGCAATCTACTAGGCTAAATGTTTTGCATACTTGCATATTCTCTAAATTACCCTATGCAATAATATCAACTACTCTTAAGACAATAATACTTCTAAAGTGCTTTCTATCTTCCAGGCTCTATTCTGGAAGGACAAACATATTGATATTTATCTTTCATAAAGACTCAACATGGGATGTAATATCATTATCCCAATTTTTAGGCAAAATTGATATACAAAGAGACTGCCCAAGGTCACCCAGCACAAAATGGAGGAGGCAAGATTTGAACCAGGGCTTATGGTACCAAAGTCCACATTCTCCACCATTATGCCACACAGCAGTTCCACTGCCACTGTTATGAGACAAAAACATACCACATCAATTTCACATTGCAAAGCTGTTTAAAATGTACTTTGAGCCATGTTTTAAATGTTATAATTAAATTGATTCAAGTTCTCTCCTTTTCAATAATCCCCTCCATAAACTTCTTCAAATAGTCACTGGAGATTTTTGCTTGGTTATATGGCATAAAACAGGGTGGCTGGGTGCAATGGTATAGCCCTGTAATCTCAGCTACTTGGGAGGCTGAGGGAGGAGGATTGCAAGTAGGAGGCCAGCCTAGGCAATTTTAGCAAGAGTCTGTCTCAAAATAAAAAGGGCTAGGGATATAGTTCAGCACCCCCTGAATTCAATCCCTAGTACTGAAAATAAATCAAATCAAAAAAAACAAACAAAAACAGAGTAAAATTTTGTGTAATTTTCCCTTCCTCGATATGTCAGTCTGAACGTTTTGTTTTGTGATGATTTCTGTAACCTATTGAGTTTGAGGCCTGTGTGGTGGAAACATCACTGACTCCCAGAGCTGAGACTGTTTCCATGGCACACAGCATGCCCACTCCCAGTGAATTTTAGTGGTTCCCCAAATTCATCCTGGCAAATGATCATGGCTCAGGGCCATAATAATTCCAAAAATCAATCTCTAGTGTATAATCATCAGTTTATGCAGCTCTTTATATCTCAAGGGATATACATATTATGGAAAAGAAAAACAAAGATTAAAAAAACAAATAAAGACAGGCTTAAACTTCTTAGTTGTAAGATATGAACAGAGAAAAAACTTTCATATATTTTAATAAATTAGAATAAAGATTAAAAATACATAATTAGGAAGACAGTGTTAAAAGACCACAACTAAATCCTGACCTGAACTACAGTGTTTTCAAGGATAATAATAATAAGATATTCTAGCATACATTTTTGGAGGAGGTCCAAGAGTGAACATCCTCACACCTAAGTCCTTTCAAATTCAGTCTCCAATATTACTGAAAGCATAAAACCTCTGAGCCAATGGGACTTTACCTGGATTTCAGGTGAATTATCTGTTATATCCTTAATTCTAAACATCTGAGCCAAAGTGATGTTTCTTCTCGGAATGGGTATATCCCGACAGTACACCTCTTGAGTTGTTTCTGGGTCTTCTTTGACAACAAATTTCTGACAAAAGTAAGTATTCAGAATAACAGGACAACTTCCATTTGGGATAATAAGTTTGTGCCTGGGAAAGAGAACAAAATTGAATAATTTATTTATAAAGTTGAACTCTTCTTTATATTTTGCTAAATCAAGAATATAAAGAGCAATCACATACAGGCTACTGACAGCTAAGACCACTGCCAGCTTGTGCAGTGACAGCCACCCCTAATGATGGCCAGCTAAGAGCAGGCCAGTACATGGAGTGACAGTTATTCCTACCAATAGATACCTAGGACAAGGCCAGCCCATAGAATGACAGCTGCTCCTAAAGGATGGACAGTTAGGACCAAAGCAGCCTGCACAGTGACAGCTGCCCCTAATTCTCAAGTGTGGCCGTCAGTGGATCTGACTACTTTTCCAGTCAGGAATGGAAGAAGATCATTTAAATTCTCAGGCTTGAGATCCCTCAGGCCAGGTCTCATGCCCTGCCCCCTTCCCTGGAGAAATGCAGAGAATAAGCAATGACTATCAACAGGCACAAGAAAGGACTCCATGAATTAAATGTTATTTATAATAAAACTTAGAGATATTTAAACAGCTCTAATTTTCAAAGAACATGATTATGAGATCACGAAAGAACTTCTAACTTTGCTATCAAACTAACCATAGTTAACTGAAATGCCTCACACTGAAGTAGAAAAGGACTGGAAATATACTACACAAATTTCTCCTGGTTCCTTTCAGTCATCTGAGGGGTAAAACACTTAAATAACCACCTCTCAAAACAAGAAGTGCTGATAATAAGAAAAAATTAAGACTTCAGACCTGGGAGAAGAAATAGACATACTTTTGTCTATTTCCCTCCTTGAGTACAACTAAAGCGTCTGACATTGTATATAAAGTATAAGATGACCATAAGAAGACACAGAAAGGTGGAGAGAAGGCAGACCAGGCAGGACACAGAAACCTCAGGACACGAGGACCTGAGGAATGATACAGCATTACGTTCCTGGGATGTGTGTGTGTGTGTGTGTGTGTGTGTGTGTGTGTGTGTATCTCCTTTATATCCCGGACTTGGAGCTAAAACAGCTGGCAGCCTGGAAACAGCAATAGATGCTAGTCCAAAAAAGCCCCCCAAATCTCATTTTCTTTAATCAAAGGACTAAGGAAGGGGCTAGCAAGGCAGAAAATATTTGTTTAATAACTGCTCTACTCCAGGGAAATACCACAAGAAGCTTATAGTAAGTTCCCACACTTTCTATAGCAAGGCCAAGCGGGGAGCCCAGACTTCTACCTTCACTATTCTCTAGTGAAGAGTCCCATTTGCAAGGTTGGAGTAGGGTGAGAAGGTGGGGCAGGAGAATCCCTGTACACCTGCAAGGAGTACCCCCTCACTGTGAGAGGGAAGACTAGCTGGGTGCCTGGACTTCACCCTCACCTGATAGTAATAACCTCCAGTGGTGCCAGAGAAAGCCTAGAGAGTTAAGACTGTCACCACTGCCCAGTGTGGTCAGGGGCAGCCACCTGAGAGGCAGCAACAAGGCACCCCAGGCTTTCCCAGCCAGGGTACTATCAGTAGAGCTTTGCAGGAATGCAGATCCCTGTTTATCAGGAATGTTCTTCTCTGTCTCAGGTATCAAGCGCATAACTTGAACTTCTACCTCCATCTGGTAGTGACATCCTGTCCCCATCTCCCCTTACAAAGTAGTATCAGATGAAGCTACCTAAAACAGGTTTAAATAAGACCCAGAATCTCTTAACATTTGGGACATTTAGGATACTCTAAATGTCCATGTTTTTATCTAAAATCATTTGTTATACCTAAGAATCAGGAAAAATCTCAACCTCAAGGAAAAAGGACAACTAATAGATGGCACTGCTGAGATGACATACATACATGCTAGAATTATCCAGACAAAGGTGCTAAAATAGCCATTATGAAAATGTTTCACTGAGCAATTATGAGTGAACTTGAGACAAATAAAAAAGATAGCCTCAGCAAAGAAATAGAAATAGAATATTTCTTAAAAGTGAATGTTTCAGAACTAAAAAACAAAATTATATAAATATAAAATATCAAGGGTAGGTTCAACATCAGAATGGAGGAGTCACAGAAAAGTATGAATGAATGTAGAGACAGAATGAGAGAAAATACCAAAGATGAAGGGGAAATATAGACTGGAAAAACAGTCTCAGGACCTGTGGGAAGGAAGAAATAAAAATGGAACTATAAAGGTAAAATGATATAGGTAAATACAATAAGTCTCCCTACTAAAATTTTCAAAATGATGATTAATAAAGTTTATTATGCTATTTAATGTGGTTCTAAATGAGAAAATACTAAAGACAATCATTTTATGAATAGGAGGCTAGATAAATATAAAGGGAGACAGGTTTCTACAGTTCACACAAACAGGTAAAATGTTGACTCAGTCGACTGTGACAAGTTATGTATATTTAATGTAATGCCCAGAGTCATCATTAAAATAGCTATAAAAATAGATACACACAATATAAATAAACCAAAATGAAATTCTAAAAGATGTTCAAGTAATACCCACAAAAAGAAAACAGAAATGAAAAAAGAATAAACAGAAAAACAAAAAGTAAAAAAGGTAGAACTAAGTTCTAACATATCAATAATTACATTAAATGTAAATGGTCCAAACAAACCAATTATAAGACAGATTGGCAGAGTGGATTAAAACTGTAATCCATCTGTATGCTGTCTCTAAGAATATAGAGATATAGGATGAACACAAAATGTTACAAAAAGATACATCATGCAAATATAAATCAAAAGATGAAGGAGTAATATTAACACTATATAAACTAGGTTTTAGAGCAAAGAAAATGACAAGAAGGAAATTACATAATGATAAAAGGTTGATCCATCAATAACATATATCAATCCTAAATGTGTATTTACCAAACAACATAGATTAAAAACAAAACCAGGAAGAAAAAAACATAAAACTGAAAGGAAAAAAATCAACAAACGTACAATTACAATTGGAGATTTTTAACATTACTCTGTCAACATCTGATAGAACAACCAGAGAGAATATTTGCAAGGATACAGAAGAGTACAACATGTCATCAATCAACAGAATCTAACCAAACATTCCATCCAACAACAGCAGAGTACATATTCTTTTCAGGTGCCACTAGACATGATAAGAGACCACATTATGAGACATAAAATGAATCTTGACAAATTTGAAAGAATTAAAATCATATAGAAAATTTACTTCAATCACAGTTCTAGATCACAAACTAGAACTCAATAACAGGTAATATGAAAATTTATGAACTCTTGGGAATAAAACAACACATTTCTAAGCAACACATGGGTCAAAGAGGAAGTGTCAATGAAAAATTTTAAAAATAAAATGAAAATGAAAATTTAAAATATCAAACTTTGTGAAAAACAGCTAAAGCAACAGTGAGAGGGAATTTTATACTATTTAAAGCTTATATTAGAAGAAGAAAAGCCTCAAATCAATAATTGAAACATTCGAAAACAGAAAAACAGAACAAATAAGGCAACAAAAGTTGGTCCTTCAAAATGATTCATGAACTGACTGACCAAAAAAATAAGATATAAGTTACCAATATCAAGAATGAAGATATCATTATAGACCCTGTAGGCATCATAAGGCTAGTACAGGGTATTATGTAGAATTTTATACACATACATTATAACAACTTAGATGAAATGAACTAATTTCATTTTTTTTTTTTTTTGGTACCAGGGATCCAACTCGGGTGCTTGTGCTTGTGCGGCAGGCGGCAAAACCACTGAGCTAAATAACCGGCCTGAACTAATTTCTTTAAAAGAATAAATTACCATGATTCACTAAATATAAAGCATTATTTGAACAGTCATATGCTATAGTTTGGATGCTGAAGGTCCCTCAAAGGCCCACATTAAGTGTTGGCCCCCAGGGTGGTACTACTGGGAGGTGGTGGAACCTTTATTGGGAGTACTTAGTCCACTGGAGGCTCCTCTTGAAGGAGACTGTGGAACCTCAGTCCTCTCCTTGCACTTTACTCTCCCTGGCACTTAATATAAGTGATTTTGCTTCACCAGCTCTTCTAATCATGATGTATAGTCTTGTTAAAGGCCCAAATAAAGGGGCTAGTCAGACTGGAACATCCAAAACTGTGAGCCATTTTAAGCATTTTATTAAAGAGATGAAAACAGAGTAACATACCTTAAAAGTGTTGTGGAAAATAAATCTCTAATTTTAAAACCCCCCAAAGCAGTATCTACAGCTCTAGATACTTTCATTGGAGAAAATAAGTATGTGTTACACATCCTCTTCTAGAAAGCATAAGAGGGAAACACTTCTGAGTTCATTTTATAAGCCCAGTATTACTCTGATATTAAATAATAGTACAAACTGCAGACCAAAATATCTTAAAACTATGAACACATCTCGGTAATCCCAGCACTTGAGAGGCTGAGGCAGGAGGATGATCACAAGTTTCACCAGCCTGAACTCAAAACAACAGAATATGAGTACAAAAATCCTTAACATGGGCCGGGAATGTAGCTCAGTGGCACCGCGTCTGTCTGGCAAGTGCAAGGTCCTGAGTTTGATCACTGGTACCAAAAGAAAGAAAAAAAATCCTTAACAAAATATTAGCAAATAGAATTCAGCAATATATAAAACACAATATGCTTTAACAAGTGGGGTTAACTCCAGGGATGTAAGCCTTGCTTAACATTTTTTAAAAATCACCTTCACCAAGTAAATGTCAAAAAATAAAAATTATATAATTATATCAGTTGATATAGAACCATTTGATAAAATTCAATACCCATTATAATGAAAAAACTCTGAAAATGAGAAATATAAAACTTTCTCAACCTGATAAAGAACATGAGTAAAAAGTCTGTAACTTACATAATTAATGATGAAAGAATGAATACTTTCCACTTAAAATGGAAGCAAGGCTATTTATTTCTATTTCAGATTGATCAATTTATTTCAATTTTCTCAATCTCAACTTTTTCATATCTAAAGTGAGGGTAATTAATACCTAATAGTATTTCTGTGCCATTATATGACTATA